TGTGTGTGTTTGTACAGTGTTAATAAAGTTGTGTGTTTGTACAGTGTTAATAGTTGTGTTTTGTACAGTGTTAATAAAGTTGTGTTTGTACAGTGTTAATAAAGTTGTGTGTTTGTACAGTGATAATAAAGTTGTGTGTTTGTACAGTGTTAATAAAGTTGTGTGTTTTGTACAGTGTTAATAAAGTTGTGTGTTTGTACAGTGTTAATAAAGTTGTGTGTTTGTACAGTGATAATAAAGTTGTGTTTGTACAGTGTTAATAAAGTTGTGTGTTTGTACAGTGTTAATAAAGTTGTGTCTGTACAGTGTTAATAAAGTTGTGTGTTTGTACAGTGTTAATAAAGTTGTGTGTCTGTACAGTGTTAATAAAGTTGTGTGTTTGTACAGTGTTAATAAAGTTGTGTTTGTACAGTGTTAATAAAGTTGTGTGTTTGTACAGTGTTAATAAAGTTGTGTGTTTGTACAGTGATAATAAAGTTGTGTGTTTGTACAGTGTTAATAAAGTTGTGTGTTTGTACAGTGTTAATAAAGTTGTGTGTCTGTACAGTGTTAATAAAGTTGTGTGTTTGTACAGTGTTAATAAAGTTGTGTTTGTACAGTGATAATAAAGTTGTGTGTTTGTACAGTGTTAATAAAGTTGTGTTTGTACAGTGTTAATAAAGTTGTGTGTTTGTACAGTGTTAATAAAGTTGTGTGTTTGTACAGTGATAATAAAGTTGTGTGTTTGTACAGTGTTAATAAAGTTGTGTGTTTGTACAGTGTTAATAAAGTTGTGTGTTTATACAGTGTTAATAAAGTTGTGTGTTTGTACAGTGTTAATAAAGTTGTGTGTTTGTACAGTGTTAATAAAGTTGTGTTTGTACAGTGATAATAAAGTTGTGTGTTTGTACAGTGTTAATAAAGTTGTGTTTGTACAGTGTTAATAAAGTTGTGTGTTTGTACAGTGTTAATAAAGTTGTGTTTGTACAGTGTTAATAAAGTTGTGTGTTTGTACAGTGTTAATAAAGTTGTGTGTTTGTACAGTGTTAATAAAGTTGTGTGTTTGTACAGTGATAATAAAGTTGTGTTTGTACAGTGTTAATAAAGTTGTGTGTTTGTACAGTGATAATAAAGTTGTGTGTCTGTACAGTGTTAATAAAGTTGTGTTTGTACAGTGTTAATAAAGTTGTGTGTTTGTACAGTGTTAATAAAGTTGTGTTTGTACAGTGTTAATAAAGTTGTGTGTTTGTACAGTGTTAATAAAGTTGTGTGTTTGTACAGTGTTAATAAAGTTGTGTGTTTGTACAGTGTTAATAAAGTTGTGTGTTTGTACAGTGTTAATAAAGTTGTGTTTGTACAGTGTTAATAAAGTTGTGTGTTTGTACAGTGTTAATAAAGTTGTGTGTTTGTACAGTGTTAATAAAGTTGTGTTTGTAAAGTGTTAATAAAGTTGTGTGTTTGTACAGTGTTAATAAAGTTGTGTTTGTACAGTGTTAATAAAGTTGTGTGTTTGTACAGTGATAATAAAGTTGTGTGTTTGTACAGTGTTAATAAAGTTGTGTGTTTGTACAGTGTTAATAAAGTTGTGTGTTTGTACAGTGTTAATAAAGTTGTGTTTGTAAAGTGTTAATAAAGTTGTGTGTCTGTACAGTGATAATAAAGTTGTGTTTGTACAGTGATAATAAAGTTGTGTTTGTACAGTGATAATAAAGTTGTGTTTGTACAGTGATAATAAAGTTGTGTTTGTACAGTGTTAATAAAGTTGTGTTTGTACAGTGTTAATAAAGTTGTGTCTGTACAGTGTTAATAAAGTTGTGTGTCTGTACAGTGTCAATAAAGTTGTGTGTTTGTACAGTGTTAATAAAGTTGTGTTTGTACAGTATTAATAAAGTTGTGTGTTTGTACAGTGTTAATAAAGTTGTGTTTGTTCAGTGATAATAAAGTTGTGTTTGTTCAGTGATAATAAAGTTGTGTGTCTGTACAGTGTTAATAAAGTTGTGTTTGTACAGTGATAATAAAGTTGTGTTTGTAAAGTGTTAATAAAGTTGTGTGTTTGTACAGTGATAATAAAGTTGTGTGTTTGTACAGTGTTAATAAAGTTGTGTGTTTGTACAGTGTTAATAAAGTTGTGTGTTTGTACAGTGTTAATAAAGTTGTGTTTGTAAAGTGTTAATAAAGTTGTGTGGTCTGTACAGTGATAATAAAGTTGTGTTTGTACAGTGATAATAAAGTTGTGTTTGTACAGTGATAATAAAGTTGTGTTTGTACAGTGATAATAAAGTTGTGTTTGTACAGTGTTAATAAAGTTGTGTTTGTACAGTGTTAATAAAGTTGTGTCTGTACAGTGTTAATAAAGTTGTGTGTTTGTACAGTGATAATAAAGTTGTGTGTCTGTACAGTGTCAATAAAGTTGTGTGTTTGTACAGTGTTAATAAAGTTGTGTTTGTACAGTATTAATAAAGTTGTGTGTTTGTACAGTGTTAATAAAGTTGTGTGTTTGTACAGTGTTAATAAAGTTGTGTGTCTGTACAGTGTTAATAAAGTTGTGTGTTTGTACAGTGTTAATAAAGTTGTGTGTTTGTACAGTGTTAATAAAGTTGTGTTTGTACAGTGATAATAAAGTTGTGTTTGTACAGTGATAATAAAGTTGTGTTTGTACAGTGTTAATAAAGTTGTGTTTGTACAGTGTTAATAAAGTTGTGTCTGTACAGTGTTAATAAAGTTGTGTGTTTGTACAGTGTTAATAAAGTTGTGTGTCTGTACAGTGTTAATAAAGTTGTGTTTGTACAGTGTTAATAAAGTTGTGTGTTTGTACAGTGTTAATAAAGTTGTGTTTGTACAGTGATCAATGAGCTCTGTGTCACTATCAGCTGCAGATTGATTGACGGGTGAATATCAGGATATTATTGGTTGGAATCAGTTAGTTATTTCTGTCGTAAGTTTAAGGGCCACATTTTACTTTTACAGGAAGACACAACGATTGGATTTTTCCAAAAAAGTTTAACAGACGTTGTTAAAAATGTTTCTGGTGGTTTTTTGTGATAATGAAATAAAATCTTTACTTTTCTTCCAGATAAAGTAAAGATCTTGTTTTCCAGCTCGCTGTGTGTTTGTGACTCGTGTCCCCCTCTCGGGTCGCTGCTCTTCAGACACCATTTGGACGTCTGATCCGACCCACGCAGCCTGGACCCTCGGCCCTTCCTGGGCAGCTTTTGGACCTGGGGGACAAATGCCAGCCCATTCAGAAGCCTCTAATTGTGGCCCGGAAAGCTCCACAAAGCCCCCTGCCTCCACCCTCAATGGGCTGCCCTGCGGAGGCCCGTGTGAACAGCAGAGCCCCCTTTTCTCCTCCCATCCTGCCTCAGTGTGCGGCCCCCCTGCACATGTTAATTAATAGGCCTCACTGGCAGATTTGGATCCCGCTCGGCTTTGATTGGAAGGCGGCCATTAGCATCTATTAATTGTGCCTCTGGCGCTTTATCGCCGGCTCTGAAAGGAGGAATTAAGTGGTGTGAGTTATTGTGAGGGCTCGGGGTGTGAGTCTGAGTTAAAATGTGATTATTGTCCCCGCAGCCCGGAGCCAGCTAACTGCTGCTAAGCCCTCTTGAAAGTGAAGGGCGACTCCTCTCATTAGAGCCCAACAAGGGGAAAGATATTAACAGGAAATAACTGCAAATTTCTTTTTTTTTCTCTGCTTCTAATCTCGGCTCTTTATGTCCCAGCGTGAAAAGGGCACTTAAAAATGTAAAGAGGGGGAAAGTGGAGCGCGGGCGCGGATAAACAGCGATGATACAGTAGTCCAGCCGATGGATTTCATTTTGTTTTTCACTGCGACGGGATTTAATTGGGCGAGCGAGGAGCAGCTGCAGGACTTCAGTTCTCCTTGTTTAAAGTTTCTGATCCACAGAAACGAAGGGAGGAAAAATGTTCAGACGAACGGATAGGACAGGATGTGAAACATTCATTTTATGAACCCTGAACTAATTGGCACCAAGGATTCATAACACCTAAACAACACTGAGCTTGAACTCATTAGCAGGAAGGTGAAGGCAGCGCCCCTGCTGGACTGGAAACACAGTGGAAATATGATTTTAACTCATTAAACCCCATAAACAGTATAAACTCTAGAGCTACGTTCTATATGGAGCTGATTCAATCAATAATCTATAATCATTGACTGTTTACCATCCACTGTTTAGATCTTGGTGCTTTTTAACTCTAGATTTGAACCGGGATGAAGGATTTTAGTCATCGGACGTCTGGATCTTCGTCCTTTGTCTGTCCAACAGCGTGGGAGAAGCAGTGATTGTTAAAGGTGGAACTGCTTTATTCAGTGTGTTTAAGGTGGAACTGCTTTATTCAGTGTGTTTAAGGTGGAACTGCTTTATTCAGTGTGTTTAAGGTGGAACTGCTTTATTCAGTGTGTTTAGTGGTTTTAATCAGCGGGTCTGTTTGTGTTGGAGAGGAGGAGACCTCTGTGGATCATTGGGCTCCCGGTAGAAACCTCCTGAACCATGAACACTGAAGGAATCCTAACCGGGAGAAGCTGACTGCAATGACGCCAATGGTGGTGAAGACAACAACTCCCATGATCCCACGCTGCTTCACCACCTCATCACACATGGATATTTATAATATTTATGGCTCTTTCTGATGCAGGAGGCGGTTTATCAGAGTGAAGTCCCGACCCTCAGGTTGGGAGGTTCAATAAAATGATGTGTTTGTATTTGTGTGATTATTTTCCTCTCACTCAATAAGCACAGTGTGTTCAGTGTTTAGCGCCCCCCAGTGGCCACAGAGCTCAGTGACACTTTAATGATTCACAGAAACATTTTAGGACCATTTTATTGATTTCTTAAAAGATCAAACACGTCTTTATTTCCTCTCTCAGCCATTCACTCTCTCTCCTCAGGTGTCTCCAGGTGGCTGTGAAGTGTCCTGGGAACACTGTGACATGACAGCAGAGGCTGTGACCCATGGCTAACACACACACACACACACACACACACACACACACACACACACACACACACACACACACACACACACACACACACACTCACTCACACACACACTCACACACACACTCAGGTATTGTCTCAGCTTGTCAAACAGCCGCTGACACACTGATCCTTTTACATCCGCTCAGCGATTCACACATACACTCAGAGCGACGCTGCAGGTCAGAGGTGTCGGCCTCCTGGACACACACTCACACACACACACGCACACACACACACACACACACACGCACACGCACACACATACACATACACACACACACACACACACACACATATACACACACACACACAGTCTGTATCTACCTGTGAGGCGGTCTGATGTCACAGCTTGTGATACACTGCAGCTGGTCAGTGGCTGCATGCTTCACAATGTGACACTGTAGGTCACAGCCTCCACTGGGGGGCGCCAGAGGTTCAGGAGGGGTAAAAAAAATAACATATATACAATATAATAAATAAAACATACACACAGTAGGACTTTATCCCAGCATGTGGTTCACTTCTGTGGAGAAACGTAAAGTCTAGTAGAGCGATGGTCTGTAAAATAAAACAGAGAAATGTTTAAAACGTTCCCTAAACAGGAAATAATCTGCTCAGAATTCATCCAAATCACACAGACAGTGAACAGAGTTGATGTGTTAGAAGCAGGAAAAATGGGCAGCGTGAGGATCTGACCCACTTTGACAAGAACCACATTGTGATGGACGACTGGGTCAGAACATCTCCAAACCTGCAGCTCTTGTGGGGGGTTCCCGGTCTGCAGAGGTCAGTTCTGATCAAAAGTGGTCCAAGGAAGGAACAGAACCAGAGACAGGGTCATGGGGGGCCGAGGCTCATTAATGCAGGTGGGGAGTGAAGGCTGGCCCGTGTGGTCCGATCCAACAGACGAGCTACTGTAGCTCAAACTGCTGAAACAGTTAATGCTGGTTCTGATAGAAAGGGGTCAGAACACACAGTGCAGAGCAGTCTGTTGGTCTGGGACCAGTCAGGGAGTCCAGTGATCACAACATAACTACATGGTACGATGTTTGATCTCCTGAACACACTCCAGAGAACAGATTTGTTTATTTTCTGTCTCCACTGATGATTACAGACAGACAGGGCAAATTAAAATAACAATAAAAGTCACTTAGAAATGTTGAGTTTAGGATAAATATTGTTAATAAATGTATAGTTTTATTGTGGCAGCTGGCACCAATACAGTAATTTTCTATCATTAAAATACTAATTTTAGCTTTAATTTTACATAAAATCTGTAATTTTTTGTCTTTTTAATGTTTAATTAAATATATTTACAGTTTGAAACCATGAGGCAAAAATCCAGGTGAACTCTGCTATAATACAATAATCAGACTTACATTTACAGCAGAGTGCTGTTATTATTGGATTGTTATTATTTGAATGTGAATGTTAAAAGTTATAGAAGTGTAATAAAAGTCATTATCTGTGAGATTACAGTAATTATTGCTGTTTACACTGATAACAACTGTATTTGGACAGTTTACCAATGCTTATACACTGATAAACAACATTTATTCAACTTCCATCATTATACAACATATCCGTCAGTTAACTATTACTTTAAAATTACACAACTAATACTTTATCATTTGTTGTGACAAATTTGACATAATTCTTTTAATCCATTAACAGTAATAAACTAGAATTTAACAGTTGAATCTATTAAATAAACAGTAAATATCTGTGAAAAGATTGTAGATTTGCAAATTTAGATTTAGACGTGTAAATTCACAGGCTACTTTTTTACATTTGATTAATATTTACATGTATGTAAAAAATACAGAATAAAATCTGTAAAATTAGATTTTTTTTTTAGTGTTTCTGCTTTTAGTGTTTAACCATCCAACAATAATGTCGTCCACTTTACTTTACACTCATTTTATTGTGTTTATATATAAATATATATATTATAAGTGCTCTTGTATTATAAGCCTATCTTTAAATAGAACATATTTACATCCATTGATTATTTATATTAATACTTTCTTGTTTTCTCATTGTTATTAGTTTCATGCTTATAATTAATTAACTTTGTAATTAAGTCTTATAATCTGTTATTATGAGTCATTACTCTTCAGGTATTTGCAAATGAGGAAACTCAGCGGATCAATAAAGTTGCTCCAGTTAGCGGCTGCGGCGCCCCCTGCAGGTGAATCACTGGTTTTAATGCTTCAGTCTCTGTTGTGTTATAATAATGAGGACGTCTGTCAGAGCCACACACAGCTGCCTGTCTTGGCCAGGACTCTCTTGTGAAAGAGATTTTTAATCTCAATGAGACTTCTCCTGGTT